CTACTCACGACATTGCCATTTGTCGCCATGAGATGCACGCCCAATTACAACCAAACTTTGCTCTAATACCACTATTGTTGGAGAAGAGAGTTTTGTTGAACTCAAACTTGCGGCAAATTTACTCCACCAGCAAGGATTTTAATGTGAAAGTGAATAATAATTTTAGGGTTTACATTCCTTACACAGTAAATTAGAATGTCGGATATGGATACGAGAATGTCTCTTCTATATTGTTTCATAAAAAAAAGACAAACGATAATTAAAAATAAATAAATAGATATTTTAGAGGTTAACATCTACTAGCACTTGAAGGGAATCCGGGAAGTGAATTACTCACAACTCTTTTGCTGATCGAGATCTAGATCTTGGTATTCTTAATCTGAAATGGTTAATAAAATGGTGAGCTACTCTATTCCAGTAAGAATATCGCATTAATCATTGATAAAAAAAATCGAAAGTTGGTAAAAATCACAAAATAACTAATAGAGTCATTGATTTAAGTAAATACATTTAACTTTAAAATATTTTATTCCATATTTACTATTACAAGTTTTTTCGAAAATAACTTATGACAATAAATAACCAAGTGATATTTTAATTTTGTACATAAGATCAGTAATTCTTCATTTTAATTTACTTACTGGGACCTCTAGGGGTTTATAGGGATATCTCTCTACTCGTGAACCCAGTATTAAGATTTGACAATTAACCAGGTTGTCCCCATACCCCGTCTGATAATGAGCACAAAAAATATCATCGCCTTGATATCTTGTTCGGTATGAGGGTGAACCATATCTACCAAAACCCTTCTGTTATGAGATTTCTCAGCCCCGTCCGACTAAAATAATATATACGGTAGGGTTCCCTATGTACCGAGTCCGTCCACCTTTTCCCATGGTGCCCAGTAAGCTTTTATTTATTTAGATTTTCATAATCCAAATAACCACAAAAGCATACCAACGTCTCATTTCATATTCACCTATTAATTTAAACGGTAATTAAGCAAGTGATATAGTTTAATATAACCGAATAACCAAGTAATCAAATAACCAATTAAACAATGCATGAGAAACCAAATAAACCAAATAATCGAGAATGTCATAAAAACTATCAATTAAATATGTACAATATAATATTAAGCAATTTATGCAGTACAAAAAAGATAAACAGGGAATCAGGACAAATATGAACTAAGCGGTTTTGGCTCCACTAGTGACTTGTAATTATTTTTAGGATTTTCCTAATTTTTTACAAAACACACAATTATCGACTATTAATTCTCAATTTGATGTAAAAAAGAACAGGGTTATGGATTCTTACCCGGATCGGTGTTTCAAAACGTCGTATTATCTATTACATCTCTTAACGTGTAAAAGTCCAGAACTTAAATGAAAATAAATTTATAATTTAAATACGAAAATGAATAATAGAGTTAGGTTTTACATTCCTTACATAATAATTTAGAATGCCCAATAGATCTATGAAAATGTTCCTTATAAAAGACAACGATTATTAAAGAAAAAATTAATAAATAAGTATTTTAAGACAACATTCACTAGTACTTGAAGGGAGTCCGGATGGTGAAATACTCACAACTATCTTACTAATTGGGATCTGGATCTTGGTTTTCTTGATATGAAATGGTTAATGAAAGGATGAGATATACTAGTCCAGTAAGAATATCACACTAATCACATATACAAAAAACTGAAGATTGGTAAAAATCAGAAAAATAACTAATAGAGTCATTGCTTTAATTAAATATATTTAACATAAAGATGTTTGTTTGATACATACCGTTACGAGTTTTTAAAAAACATCCTATGAAGACCCACGTCCATATCACTTTTCATTTTTATACATAAAAGAACAAGTGACGACAATTTTCTTTTTTTACTTACTTATTGGTACCCCTGTGGGTCCATAGGGATGTCCCCCCTACTTGTAAACCTAATATCCAATTTTAACAATTAACCGATCATCCCCATACTTCTTCTAGTAATGGGTATCAAACATTCCATCGCCTCGATACCCCGTCCAGTATGAGGATGAACCATATCTTTTAAACCTTTCCGATATGGGACTTCCTAGCCTCGTCCAACTGAGGTGACGTTCACGGTAGGGTTTCCTATGTACCGGGGTCATCCGCCCTTTTTCTATGTACCCAGTAAGTCTTTCACATAAAGATTTATATCGAGTAAAACAACCAATAAACGCATACAAATATCTCATATTATATTTACAGATCAATCATATTATATTTATGCCGACAATGTAACTTATCATAATAAGAGATCAAGTAACCAGATAACCAAATAAACTAGATAAATTGATAAGACTATTGAAACTATAAATTAAAAATATGCACGATATGCTAACAAGCAAGTATGATAGTAAAAGAAAATAAATAGAAAATCAAGACACTTATGAAGTAATTGGTTCAATCTCTACAAGTGACCTGTAATTTATTTTTAGAGTTTTCTAACTTTTCATAAAAACACAACATTATACATCGTTAAAGCTCAATTTACTGTAACGGAGAATAGGGTGAGAGATCCTTACCCGAATCAGTGTTTCGAGATGTCGCGCTGTCTACTACACCTCCTAATAAGTATTAGATTTTCTGAATTTTTTCTGCAAAATCCAAAACACTCATCACGTACCTAAAAATATCTAAAAAATCTAAAATCAGTGCCCAAAACTCTTTTTGGCCGATTTTGGAGTTTTGGCATGGCGACACCTCCATGCTCCGATGTTAGCTCCATCGCCCACGGCGGTGGTTCACCTCAGCCTGATCGATTTTAGTCAGTTTTGGCCAATTTTACACGTATGCCTGTAAAAAATATACTTTAGGGGGCCTCGGTTGGCCAGAAAATTACCAAAAACATCGAACCTACCGGCGGGGATCATTAGGTACGGCGTCTCCACTGGTCCTTCTTCGCGGCAGGGGTTCCTTCTTCGGTTAACCTATATAGAAAAGGACGCTAAACACAATGATTAAATAATTACGTGAAACGAAAAATGGGAAGGGACTCATTGTAAAAATTTTTGAGTTTTGGCCGCGATGGCTCCGTCGGGCTTTGCCCATAGTTTTCGACTCACTCGTCATCCCTCTTACTTCGATTTGGCCACAGGGATGCTTGAAATCAAATTCTGAGCAGGTATGGGAACATCTTTACTTTTTTTTGCGATCGGCGGTCGGCCTCCTTCTCCAGCACCTGGTTCTTCTTCTCCGGTGAGGGCTAGCGACTAGGATTTGGGCTCCCATGCGACACGAAGTATTTATACCTATCCTGCGTCAATCTGAACCTTTCATCGCGATTGATCTCGTCCGTTTGATCATGCCTAAGGAATAAACGAATATGGATCGTTCATCGCGATTAATCTCATA